GTCGTTGAATGGTTCGAAAAGGCTGAACTAGCAGGCAGCCATTACTGGTGTTGTTTGTATACATTCGCTGCAGAATAGCTATCAGTGTGGGTATCATTGTGCAAACTGAGCGTGTCTACGTAAATAGTTCTCGTGCGTAGTAACAGACAAATTTGGACAAGCAAGATCAGTTCCGAGCTTAGCTTTCCGTAGTCTTCCGCGTTTAGCTTTCCGCAGCGAATGTATGCAAACAACGCGAGTAATGGCTGCCGCCAACGACGTGATTGAATCCCAAATTTCACTGTCGATAACTCCAAAAAACGGTAGATTTTATCAAGCCATACAATGCAAATTAACCCAACTTTCTTTTGAATTTGGTCATGTTCTTTCTTGTGGTGTTTTTTTTTTTCAAATGACTTCACAAATAACTTGTGTTTTCATGACAAGCTACCACTATGCACTTGCAAATGACATTTGCAAGATGTTCTGTGCTAAGGCGTAAAGACAGGGTAATAAAAAAATTTTAAACATACGACCAGTGCACCTGAAAACTGCAAATCAGGGTAAAAAGAAGGATTATTTATGTTATAGACAAGCGTATGGTTGCAAGACAGCAGCAGAAATAGATTTACGTAATTTATTTCAATAGGAATGTATGGGTTTGGGACAGCTACCTTGTGGTATAGTTTATAAGCCGGCTACTGATCTGGGTTGATCTCTCATAGTAGTTCTCACTGGTTGGCGTGGCGCTCCTCCTGTTGAATGCTGCTGACTGCCCAGACTGACCGTGACAGATCTCTTCCCTGGCCTTCTGTTGACTGCTAGTACTTCCCAATGTGACCCCTTTTATGGCGTTTTTTGGCTTAACAGGCTCGAAAAACGATGCGAGTATAATTAGGAGGGAAGCATTTTTATTGGTCGAGAAATAGGAACACTTTAAAATATTATTTTGACGGAACTTGAAAAGGGCCTATGCACAAACTACGATAATGGTCAAAAGGGCCTTGTCCCGTTCACATCCGACTCGTTCTTGAGTATGTTAGTTTATTTGCCTGCAAATCAACGAGATATGTCTTATTTTATTTTATAGCATTCACCTAAAGTCATTTTCCAGTCCGACTTTGTGCTAACATCAGAAAGCCTCCTTTCTATCAATATCAAATGGTTTGGGTCAACCCGTGGCATGGTTTTCAAGCATCCAGTCGATAACATCGTCTCCTTTCTGACAAATCGATCATGGTGAGATTCGAACGTTCTAACCACTAGGCCCATGAAGAGAAAAAAAACTATTTTTAATGAAATTGCAATTATTTTGACTGATTTTTTTTCATTCACTTTTCATGCATCATTTTTTCTCCATGTAGAAGCATATGTTGCCAATTCCTTAGCTCATTTCAGTATTTTGCAGTTTCTTAAAAATACGTTTCTCTTTTGATAATGAATAAAAGAAGAAAACTGATCAAAGAAATTATTTTTCTTTGATCAGTTTTTAATTTCCTGAACATTTTTCTCTCCAGGGAGAAGACTCTTAGTTCAATTAACTTCCGGGCCAGAAAGAAAACGAACACAGAGAACTTTGTTTCGCCACAATCACTATAAAAAGAATAAATGTATGTATGTCGGAGTTAGCTCCTCCTTAGCCCTTTCACCAGGGGTCTCTCTTCCCTGGCTATAAATACTCGCTGACCCTTCGCCTCCTTCTCTTTTTCCCTCAGGCCTTTGGGCCGCCACCTTGAGGTAAATCTCTCTTTTTTCCTCAGGTTTTCAGCCTTGCCACTTCGCAGATGTGAACGCTCATAGATACAGTGTTTCCGAAATACTTGGAACACGCCAAGAACAATACAAGTACGTACGCACACTCACCACAACACACACACATATAATATTCACCACACACACTCTGTCCATGTAACTGTCCATGTAACTTGTAACCTTTCTTGTTATTAATACATATATTTGTTTACATATATTTATCGGTCTTGTTTGTTTTTCCTTGTCTTCTTTGGACTTAATTAAAGTCCAATTTTCTCACTAGCAGGAAAATCTTAACCCACATGTGTTCTTCTACTCAACATCGCCGATACGGTCCGAAACATAATGGTGACTTCCCGACGTCGACATGGTCCTCTACATGTAATAGAAACTCAAGTTTTTGTATGCTTCTATCTTCTTTGTTTACATACTGAACACGCAGCTTCACATAAAATGAACACAAATATGCAACCTGTTAAACTCCATGATATATTGAAATATAAAGAAATAGATATACAGTACACTATGTCAGCTTTTATTGCTCAAGTTAATGTCTTCACGATAAAACTGAAATTGTGTGAAAACGATTGGGACAACCAAATAGATTGGTTGGTTTTTATGGCATATCAACTACTATAGGTCATTTAATGCCAAATTAAGCTATACAGTACAATTAAACGTATAGCTGGTAACATTATTTTCTTTTCAAAAAAACGTATAGCTGGCAACATTATTTTTCTGAAAACAGCATCTGAGGCTTTCCTTGCTGTTGGACATAGTTTATCGTCATACCCAGGACGCGGGTGTAGTTTAACGTCATACCCAAGATGCGAATGTAGTTTATCACCATACCCAGGACGCGGATGTAGTTTATTGTCATACCCAGGACGTGGGTAAGATCTGGAAAAACTAGGAGTTCACTATTTGCCTATAGCTGGGACCCTAACAGCTGCTACCACCCCGGGTCAAGGTGGACCTGGGAACACCAGCAATTAAGAGGTGATTCCACGCTCCTCAAAACCTCCTGATCAGGGGCCTTGCTGTTGGGTGCAGTTTAACGTCATACCCAGGACGTGGATGCAGTTTAACTTCATACCCAGGACGGACAACTAAATACAAGAAGAAAAGAGAGTTTATGTTGACCTCAAGTGTTTCTCTTTTATGGCCAGCAGATAATGTCTTCTAAGCAGCACCCACTTGACTGAAAGAGGACACATAAGTAAAAAAGAATTTGGAGTCAAGTGACAACAAAAACAGACATTGATGTTTTCCGGTTATGGACGTATATAAACAGTTATGGTTGAGATGTCTGTTCAGCTCTGCTTCTGGCAGGAGACAAACTGTCCTTCAGGGTAGTTTTGATGTTACCCTTTCATATTGTCAGCCACATGTCATGATATATAGATAGGCTGAGAATTGGTATCAGGGAAGATCCCAAAACTGATATGGCAGAGGTTGTCCAAAGTGTTACCTACATACCCAGACTGAGAAAGCAAAGCCTGAATTAAACAACAGAATATATTACAAATGGGGTTAGAGGTCTCATTTCTCAATGTAGCATTTGTTTTCATCTTTGATTTCGTTTTGAACGTGCAGAAAACAGTTTGACAGCTTTTAGCACGCATCAACGTGAAAGAGAATGGAGGCACAATATGGAGTAATCACTAGCTGGTCAGTGGAAAGCTGGTAGAGGGTTGCAATGTACAGGGCTGTAGCAGAGTTTGTCTATATTTCTGAGATGAGGTATTATGTACAGTATTTACATTAGTCGGACTATTGTCCTCATCTTTGTCGCCATATTTGTCCTTGAGGACACATGGCACAGTGGATAAAGGCGTTGGTTAGATCCAGTGACAGACCCAAAGAAGGTGAGTTCAATTCCTGGTTAAGGCAGTGGAGAACTTTCAGAGGGAAAATTAGCAGGAGATAACTGATAACTGACATCCATCAAACATGGCACGTGGAATTAGAACAGTCTACCCCAGCGATCGAAATAAAGGGTTCAGTTCGAAATTCCAACCACCTGAAGAAGGCCGGAGCGTACAACGGCCGAAACGTTGTGACAAATATGGCGACAAAGATGAGGACAATAGTCCGACTAATGTAAAGGCTGTAGCAGAGTCAAATATTTTGGGGTGGGGCCAAAAAAAAAAAAAAATTTAGAATTTAGCCTTAAATTGTCAAAGGCCATCATCATTGTTTTGCGGCAAGAACATTTAAAATTCCCTGTACCTCTAGATTGGCAGAAATCATCTTTGAAATACAGTGTAACCCGGATATAAGAGAGTTGTCAGGACCGGAGACGAAGTCTCTTATATCCGGGTTTGGTTTATTTTATATACATTAACACAGGCTCTAATTTGGGACCAGAGAAAATCTCTCTTATATCCGGGTTTCTCTTATATCCGGGTTACACTCTAGTACCCTCTCTCCTGTTTGATTCGGGTGCACCTCAAGTTGTATGGGTGCAGAGTGAGGCGATCATTAAGGATCGCATTGTCGCAGAGATATGAAACCAACTGACATTATTACTCTACCAACAAATTACATTTTTTAAGTGTTAAATTTTAAAATTAAAAATGCCTCTGGTATTTAAAGTTTTTAACTTAAAATTTTTTTTGTGAATGACTTCAAACCTTATGGTTGGCCCACCAAATTCACTAGCGCCCTTTTCTTTTTTTTTAAGACAGGACTATTATGTGTAAATAAATAAACAGACAACGAATTTGAAAGGCACCACTATGAAATCCACTTTGAAAATATTGGAAATTGTCGTTCGTCATTGAAATAGCAACATAATTTTTAAAAAAGAGACGTGGTAAACCAATTCTCACACATGAGAAAGAATTGTATCTTTAGAAAGAGAAAAAATTAAATTTTGTTTACATCCAAACTGATTTTTATCAAAATAGCCTTGAAAATAATACGAGAGAGCTGCTGTTCGTTGAAATGGGAGGAAATTTCACTATTTTGACACGAGTTTGCACTCTACACTAAGCTAGGTTTGGGATACCTACTTTCAAAGACAAAGAAAAAAAATATAATTCCATTAATTCAGCATTTATGAACTTATGATCCCATTCAGTGAATTTTATTAATTATCTCCCTTTCAGTGACACTCTTCTTGTGTCATTGTTTTCCGTCAAGCGAAAACGATGGCTAATAATAATCATTGTTTTTCTTTTACAATTACATTTAATTAATTTAACAAGAATACGTTAGTTTATTCAAAATTTTATAGTTTCTCAATTACTGCTTTGTCATAAAAGTCTTTGTGGTAAAGAAGTCAAATCATAAATCGAAAGAAAGCAGTAAGTATTAAATTTCTTTGTTTACAAATAAAAATTGTTACTTTCAGAATGTTTTTCTTCATTCACACGAAATTATTTAAAAATTGTGGAATCCTTTCTTGGATTTTAATCGCTTTTCAGAATTTTATTCAATACCTTTAGTTTTTTGTTATTTTTACCAGGTTTGAATTTGTCTTTCATTTTCCTTTTAAATTTCTTTTTCTATTTGTCTTCTTGCAGTACTACTGTTTTAGTTTGTGTTTGTTTGTTTAGTTGACTTTCGAAGTACTTCAGGTAATGTAAATAAAGATACATTTTTAATTTTAAGTAATAATTTAATGACTTCTGTCCGTTATAATTTTTCTATTTACGTGAAATTTTTATTTTTCAATTAGGTACCTCCACGAAATCGCTAAAAAAAAAAGAGCATAGTCTGATGAAAAAGACGCCAAACTTTATGAAAACAAAATTTTATCGTCTAAAAAATGCTTATGTTTTTATGAAGAGGAAAGACCAAAGTTTTTTTTAATTATTTTTAAAATTTTTCCTTCTTTTTAGAACATTCTAAATTTTGATTAAAAAAATCTTGTTTCTCTTTGTATCAGTGGAACTAAATAACATAGACAATTTTTAGCACGTTTTTTTTTTCTGTATTACACACATTAATTTGGAAAATCTTTCAAAAATAAAAATAATTGTCGGATGTTAATGAAACTTTCAGAAACTATTCACAGATGATCGAAATTATTATAAATATGTTTTTTTTTTTTTTTTTTTTTATTAAAGTCATAGCAGAAATATGTTTTTTTTATATTTAACACCCCCATTACTAATTTTATGAAAAACTCTAGAAATTCGATCACATAGTGATTACAATAGTTAAAAGCACAAGGCTTTGAAGAATGCAAATCATGTTTTTTTTGGGTTTTTTTAATTGGATCCGCAGTACCTGAAAATCAGCTCTGAATTGTAACATACAAAACTCAATAAAACAAAGATACTATTTAATTTCAAATGGTTTTATTTGTTTTTATGAATATGGACAATATTTTCTGAAAGCAACAAATTTTTTCAATAAAAATTGAATTTTTAATACAATTATTTGTTATTTTTTTAATTATAACAGATTTTTACATTAAGTTTTTAAAAAATATTATAAAATTAGTTAAAAGCCACATCGATTTTTCTAAGTGTCCTTATGAGATAGATCATTGTCTAGCGCTTTGAAAACTGTATCATTTTGACCAATCAGAAGATCCGCAGTAATTAAAAAATGTAATTTTGTGTTTATAATTGGGCGGTAATTATAAAGTACAGAAGACCAACCAGAATATTTGAGTTCAGCATTGTTCTCCGCTGTTAAGGCCTTTACTTTTGCGAAACACGTATGGAGAAGTTAATTTGATTTTTCAATTTCAACTGAGAAGGGTACCTACAAGTATCAGTATCATATTATGATAATTTAACTACTGCTGCTAAACTTTAATTTATATGATCTTATTTTTATATTAATCTCAGTTATGACATTTTTCCATAAATGAAATATCAAAATGAATGGAAATACAAATAACACAGTAAAATGTAATAAATATAGATAAAATTATAGTATTTTATGTACACTTCTGATAAAATTTCATAAGAAAGGTACCTATAAATTAATTAGATACCTTTCTTATGAAATTTAATCTCACTCTTAACAGTCTTATTTTTTCATTTCTTTATAATATATTTTCCATAAAGCATCGTAAACGTAAAGATGAAAGCTAAGTACAAAAAAAAAAATTAGAGCGCTGAAAGTTTTCCTTAAAAGTAACAAGGTAAATAATTTGTTCACTTAAATCTAAATAATTTCACTTCCTTCCATCCGTAAAAAGAATTATCCTCCCGTAAGTTATCTAAACGTCATGAAAATGTCTTTCGTCACCTGTCATGTGACGTGAAAGGTTATGACCTGCTTTGTTTTATTTTCAAATTACATTTTTTCGGCGCAGAAGCTAACTTAAGCTTGGTTCAAAATATTTTAAATAAACATTATAATTTCTGATTCTATTAAAATAATTTTTGAAAAAAATGATAATTGATTTTTAAAAGAATGTCAAAGTGAGATTTTCATCTTTTTTATAAAATGGAAAAAAATGATTGAAAGTGATGGATTATCTGTCCTTTTTTTTTTTTTTTTTTTGACAAAAATTTCGAACGTGCTAGGAAAGATTAAAAAATGTAAAAAAATACCCCCAAAATACTTTGATCTTTCCTCTTTAATAATAGTATGAACATTAGACAATAAAATTTTGTTTTCGTCAAGTTCGGCATCTTTTTCATAATGCTATGCTCTTTTTGTTTACATTTTGTGGAGCCACTGCTAGACTTGAATCATTTTTTTCTCAATTATAGTCCCTAAAAAGGCGTCTTTTCAGTGTAAGCAAGCAATAGAATTTGGTTATTTTACTGATTATCCTCTAAGTCATCTTGTGTCATTATTAAGAGGAAAGATTGGTTTGGCGTGAAAAGTGGACCTTAAATTTCTATGGGAAATTTGAGAAACCTTTTTGCGGTGAAAAACATATTGGTTTGGAAAGGCTTTCAAAAATTAGATAATTGTCAGGAATTCTTCAGAAATTAATGAAATTATAGTTTAAACATTTTGTTTGTTTATTTTTCTTTTAGAAAGTCTTTGTAAAAACTTGGTAAAAAAAAAAAAAAGAGTCTAGAATTAGGACCATAAGACGGGTCATAATTCGGATGCGCAAAAATGAAAGTAATATTAACACACTTATAGGCTTAGTGGTTGATTTTAAGTGATTACAGTTATTCAAAGCAAACAGCAGTTGACTGGTTTAGATTTTGTAGTGATGCGTGCTGCTATTTCACTGACAAAAACAAAAAACAAACAGTGGTCAAAAAGTGGAGGTCCAGACAAAATAGTGGAAATTGATGAAACATTGATTGTAAAAAGAAAATATAACCTTGGCTGAGTGCTTCATCAACAGTGATTCTTTGGAGGAATTGAAAGAAATTCTGAAGAATTTAATTACTTTGTAGAATTTGTTCCTGATAGATCATGAAGCATTCTAGAAGCAGGGTTCCAAAGAAATATTAAACAAGGTCTACAGTCATTCGTAATGGTTGGTCTGCTTATAATGCCCTAAATGATATGAGGTACAATCACAAAGTTAATATAATTCATGAAAATGATTTTGTTAATTTACATGAATCTTTAGTTCATACTCAAACAATAGAGAATAGCTGGCTTCATCTAAAGTGCTTTCTCAGAAAAAGGAAAAAACAAGTATCTACATGAATGGGAATATATACCTGAATATATATATATTTTTTTAAATCAACAAATGTATTTGAAAATATATTAAAAACAATATATATATAAATTTTAACCTGTGAATTCTAGACTTTATCCTTATTTTAATCTGTTACCCACACCTATTTAATTTTTATATAATTTTGAGAATTTTTGTATAGGAATATGTTTATATTGGTGAAAAGGACAAGTCTTCGAATAATTTAAATCATCAAAAATATTTTGGTCAAACAGTACCCTAGTTGCATAAAATCTGCCCTAAATCATAAAATAAAAAAAAAATGTAATAAAACTAACACATTTTTTAATTAGAAAATGTTTTAATTGCTTTTATGAATAAAATATATTATGGACACTATTGTAGGTACCTCAAAAAAAAAAAGCAACTATACCTAAATTTAAAATGTATTTTAAAAATGAAAATCTTTTTGAAACTTTAATTTCAGTTTTAATTCTGATTTTCTTGATTAAACTTAATATTCCAAATAAGCAAAACACTTTGGTGTGGGTACTTTGAAAGATGTGCTAAAAATATTGCATACAGGATAAAAAAATATCCAAAACTTAATGAAAACAAACTTTTATCATCAAAATCTTTGTGTTATTATTAAGGGGAAATATCAAATAATTTTTTGATTTAAAAACTTTTTAGTCCTTTTAAGAATGTTTGAAATTTTGGTTAAAAATTTTGTTATTCTGGTGTCACTGTGATACCATAAATTAGTACAGAAAAATTGATTATCATTTTGGAGTGAAAAACAAATTCTTGCAAAAAATCAGATAATTGTCGGATTTTAATGAAACTTTCAGGATTTATTCAGAAATAATGAATTTATTTTTTAAATGTTTCTTTTTTAAAATTAACTTGGTAAAAAATTTTATTTTTTTAAAATCTGTTACAATCCATTTATTTAATTTTATAAAATTCTTAGAAAAAAATTTTTTTTCAGCATTTAATGTTTATGTTATAAGGACAAGAAATTGAATAATTTAAATCATTGAGAGTTTTTGGTCGACCAAGACACCCAGTTACAGAAAATCTGCCCTAAATGGTAAAATAAAAAAAATCCAATAAAACTACAAAGACACTATTTAATGAGAAAAGATTTTAATTGCTTTTATGAATAAAATATATTATTGTCTTATGAAAAAAAAATTTATTTCATAGGGACTCACTGATTTTCTTGGGACCCATTCAAATCACCATCTATGGGTCCCAGGAATTTACTACACTAAAACCTATCAGCATTACTGCAAAATAAATGGGACTTCCCCTCTTATTTAATTTTCTCATTCATCAGGTTGTCAATAAATCACTCAACTTAATAAAGACATATTGAGCCCTCAACTTGATAATGATTTATTGAATTGACATTATTAATTCATTGCATTAATTAATTTTTGAACTTTTTAAAAAATAATCTCACAGTTATTAATCTAAAAAAAACCTAACTCTTGTAAGTATAAAAAAAGATACAATTTTTAAGAAAATATTGCAGATGCTGAAATCATATATATATATATATACTTATTATAAAACCCAGGTTGTGTGTGTGTCTGTACGTTTATATATTGGATCGGATTTCCTACATTTTTCAACCGATTTCAACAAAACTTCACAGGATTATGTAAAATTACCTTGCAGTGGTTCTGACAGTTCCAAAAATTGGAAAAACACAATTGTTTTTGCACAAAATCAATTTGAAAACACGATTAAAAGGCATCGCTGTCGCCAGAATGAAAGGGGGACAACTCATATCATATCAATTCATATTATAAAACCCAGGTTGTTTGTGTGTGTTCGTTTATATATGGGATCGGATTTCTTACATTTTTCAACTGATTTCAACAAAACTTCACTTTTTTTTTTGGCAGGTAGTGTTTCTTATTGTCTTGCACACTTTTTTCTTTATTTTTACATTCAGAATGCTTTAAAAATTCCATTTACAAGACAATTGTTTATAATAAAATTCTATTCAATCGGTAGACTTATAACAATTGGAAACGATGTTTTTGTTTGGGTTTGACCAATTCGTAAAAAAAAAAAAAAAAAAACTAATTAAGACATGCGTGTGCGTCAACCTTAAACAATAATCTTTGTCAATTTTATTTTTCAGTCTTTATGATGGTCAATACTTGATCTATCTTTTACTGTTACAACCCCGGGCAATGCCAGGCTCTACTGCTAATACTTAATACACTTACAAGATACATTCCAGTTTTGAGACTTTTTCAGCATAGACATTAATTTCAAAGAAGCACAAAACGTTAATCTACTTCAAAGTAGGCGTTTAATACACTTGTAGTGCTCCTGCCACTTCATGAAGGCCCTATGGAAATCATCCAAAGTGAAGGTGTCCAGGAACTTTATCAAAGCTTCATCTCAATGTCTTCAAAACTACTATTCTTGACATTCTTTGGCTTTGGGAACAACCTAAATTCACAAGGAGCAAGGCCTGGACTGTAGAGTGTGTTTTGATCCCTTATCTCTGTCAACACAGAGATAAAGAACTTTATTGCATAGCAAGCTTTGAAATTGTCTTCACATCTTGATTCTGTAATCTAGTTAGCCATGACGGTGTATAGTAAGGTGTGTTCAAGGAGCAGTTACAGCCATCTACTTCAATATGGAATAACAAAAGTCAGCTTATTAGATGTATAGTAATGACATATTAAAATGACAATAATCGTGCACTGTTATAACTGCATCTCTTAAAAAAATAAAAAGTCTCAAAACTTTTGGAATGCACTTTGTACACTTAGTTTTTTGCCTAAATTTTAGTGCAACCAATTTTATCAAATTAATAATGGGCTGTGCACAGGTCTATCAGTAAGAACACACATAGAATATTCCTTTTTTTTTTTTTTTTGTTAATAATGTTCAGATCTCTGACTTGAGTTACTTTAAAATTAGACAGTTTGCTCTTTAAGGTCTATCAGTGCACTATATAAGAATACTCAAGTAGATATTTCACAAACAAACCAGGTTTTCTTTGAAATAGGAGTTTTTTAAATTTGAAGATTGTTATACCTCATAAAAGACAAGCTATTTTGTTTTATCAAGAAAAAATAATTCTTTATGAACAGTTTTGAAGAACTGTATTAGTACTTATAGCATGTTTTGTGTTTATTATTTCTTTCATTGTGGTAATGACCCAATTAACCTGGAACAATCTTCAGCGTAATGAAATTCTTTAACTCATCAAGATCAAGTATAATCTCCCCTTGATGAGTCTCCGTATATTTTCTACTGGATTTGTATATGTGTAAGGGCAATTGAGAGCAGTTATCCTCTTCTCCCTAAGCCATTCTTTTGTAAAACTTTGCAGTTTAGATCCTGGCATTTCCATTACAAACCAAGTAGAAAATATTTGTCACATTTAAACTTGTGGGTTGTAAACAATTTTCTCATATTTTTATCAATAATGGAGTGTCCTTTTTACTTCAGATGAATGTCATATGTAAAAGTTTGTATATTCATATTCTCTTCCATTTGAGTTAAATTATATGCAGCTATTTCAATATGAGTTTTCTTTCATAATACCTATTCTTTATTTACAGGTATCAATAAGAGGTGACGAGAATAACTTGGAAAGAGGCATGCAAACGCATGCCAGTGACAAAAAAAACTTTCTTGATAGTTGTGTGGATTTTCCCAGAATTCCTGTTCAAATACAAGTCATATACAAGTGAAAAGGAGAAATTTTTGATTCAAAGTTTTCTATCAACATTTTTACTAAATTCACATTTCAAAGTAAACACCAAAAGACAACTCTTGTGAAGTGTTGCAGGTCATTATTTCCACAGGTTTTATATTTAAAAAGACATGCAAAAACATTCTGGGGTAAAACAACATTCGTGTGAATTATGCGGATCATTATTTTCTTTGATGTCCAGTTTGAAAGTACACATGCGTAGGCACACCGGAGTGAAACCATTTTCTTGTCAAGTATGTGGAGCAGCATTTTCAGTTAGCTTCAGTTTAAAAAGACACATGCGAATACACACAGGAGAGAAACCATTTTCATGTCAAGTGTGTGGATCAGCATTTTCTGGTAGATCAAATTTACAACAACACATGCGAATACACACAGGAGAGAAACCATTTTCTTGTCAAGTTTGTGGATCGGCTTTTTCAGGTGGTTCAACTTTAAAAAAGCATATGCTAATACACACTGGAGAGAAACCATTTTCTTGCAAATTATGTGGTTCATCATTTTCCCAGAGCTCCACCTTAATGCTTCACATGCGAATGCATACTGGAGAGAAACCATTTTCTTGTCCAATGTGTGAATCAGTATTTTCACGTAATCACAATTTAAAAGTTCACATGCGAATACACACAGGTGAAAAGCCATTTTCTTGTCAAGTGTGCAAATCAGCATTTTCACGTCATCATCATTTAAAAGATCACATGAGAATTCACAATAAGAAAAAATGATTTTCTTGTGTGGTTAGGATTTTCCCATAATTTTGGAAAGAGACATTTTCTTCTGAAGTGTGTGGAGCAGCATTTTTAGCGAGTAACATTTTAAAAATACATATGCAAACTTAATGAAGAGAAACCATTCTCTTTCAAATGACATTTTTTCCAGATTTCTCATGAAAAATTAGAGTCTATTTTATTTGTCAAATATACAATAATAACCATAAATGATCACATCCTTTCTTTTTAATAAAGTGTTTACTTCTAAATTTCAAAAAGCATGATTATATTGTTTTTTCATAAAATGTTAACATACTATGCAAACGTCACCAAAGTTTTATACTGGATAAAGGCCAGATGGTGCAGCAGCTGAAACATTGTGATAGTAACAATAATCTGCATATAAATAGTATCAATTTTTTTTCCCAATGGGGTACCATGGTCAGATGAAATAAAAATCAATCTGTATTTGATAGCATCCAATGAGTTGTACTAAGAATAATAAACTAGGTTCTCTTTGGAATTGCAATCAACACTAGTGGAATTAAATTTGCATATTTGGCTGAACATTGTGAAACAATAATTTATGGAAAATTCAGACCTCATGAGTTTCATTTATCTTGAAAATTTTATTTTGTTAAATCATTTCTCCAAAATTTTTTAAATAAAAGTAAATCAGACCTGCATGAGTTCAGTGACTTATGAATTTATCTTGAAATGATTTGGATATTTTGTTGAACACTGCAGCTTCATTTCTCCAATAATTTATATTAAATAAAAGAATTTATAAATCAGACCTGAATGAGTTCAGTGACTTATGAATTTATCTTGAAATGATTTGCTTATTCTGCTGAACATTGTAGCTACGTTTTTCCAATGATTTATATTAAATAAGTTTTAGTTTCAAAGCTGTTTAATCAAATGTGCTTGAACATCAGATTTTTTGTTTTTATCTTTTAATGATTTGCTTTGTAGAAAAAATTGTAAATATTTTGTTCGGTGAATAGAATGGAATATATGACACAAAATAACTTCACCTTATTTGGTCTGGGTAATGTTAAAAATCTTCAGAGACTTTATCATGACTTAATCACCCAAATATACACGAATAACGCTCACTGTAAATGAGACCGAGATCTGGGGGAGCCGTGTTATAAAATAAAATAAGACATATCTCGGCTGATTTACAGGCAAATACTCAAGAGCGAGAACCGGATGTGAACGGGACAAAGCCCCGTCACAAAATGACCATTATCTTTCTTTACAAATGTTTTCGACACACCGTGTTCGGTCGAAAAATAAAATAATATTTAAAGTGCTCTATTTTTCGTCCAATAAAAATGCTTCCCTCCTAATTATACTCGCTTCGTTTCTCGAGCCTGTTAAGCCATTAAAAAACGCTATAAAAGGGGCCACACGGAAGTTCAACAGGCAGTCAACAGGTGGCCAGCGAACAGACCTGACGGTCAGGCCGAGCGATCAGCAGCAGGGGAGCATCAACCACTGTCAACATGTGTGAACTACTATGAGAGATTGACCAGATCTGAAAGCCGGCTTATGAACTTTACCACAAGGTAGCTGTCCCAAACCCTCACGTTCCTGTTGAAATAAACCACATAAATCTATTTCTACTGTTGTCGTATTTCTTTCTTGCAACCATACGCTTGTCTATAACAAATGTAACCGTAAGTTCTATGCTAACATTTTCTTTTCTCACACTTGAATGCCTCTTCCGGCCTCTTACTTTCCAGTTAACTTCAATCTTCAAAAATTGGTCAACCGTTATTGTCTTGATTTGTGTACTTTTATTCTTCCCGCACTTTAATAAGGTTTTCATTTTGCTATAGCCTTTCACACTCTGTAATATCCTGCGTCTTTATTGCCTTGCTTGGGGTGGGGGGGATGAAAAGATTTTTAAAAAAAAAATGTATGAAACAATATAATTCAATTAGAAAAAATATAGAAAGTATCATACAACCTTCCGCGGCTCTTTGGGGTCTCGTGAAGGCTCAAATAATTTTAAAGAAGCCTAAACCCCAGCCGGACTTACTCCTAGGCAGTACCTCTTATTAGGGAGGGGGATTAGTTTATTGTCCGGTGCCTGAGGCATGCCCAAAAGAAGAAATGCTGAGATGGCTTCGACAATTTTTCCATCGTATTATTGCCGTTAAAAACCCACTTTAAAGTTAAACTGACCCTGTGTCCATTCGGTAGTGACGTGGGCGCACTGAAAAATACCTAACCGAAAATATATTTTATTATCTAAAAATGATAATATGAATTATGTATATTCTAATTAATATATAAATAAATTTAGATTTGACATTTGAATATGACTAAAAATTAAATTAGGTGCAGAATTAAATTAATTACAGAGAAACCCGGATATAAGAGAGATTTTCTCTGGTCCCAAATTAGAACCTGTGTTAATGTATATAAAAATATTAAAACCGGATATAAGAGAGATTTTCTCTGGTCCCAAATTAGAACCTGTGTTAATGTATATAAAATAGACCAAACCCGGATATAGAAACCCGGATATAGATTTTCTCTGGTCCCAAAAACCTGTGTTAATGTATATAAAATAGAAACCCGGATATAAGAGAAACCCGGATATAAGAGAGATTTTCTCTGGTCCCAAATTAGAGCCTGTGTTAATGTATATAAAATAGACCAAACCCGGATATAAGAGAAACCCGGATATAAAGAGATTTTCTCTGGTCCCAAATTAGAGCCTGTGTTAATGTATATCCCGGATATAAGAGAAACCCGGATATAAAGAGATTTTCTCTGGTCCCAAATTAGATCCTGTGTTTAATGTATATAAAATAGACCAAACCCGGATATAAAGGCGGATATAATCTCCGGTCCCGACAACTCTCTTATATATAAATTTGGTGATATAAAATAAATCATCTAGATATGTAAAATGTTGAGCTTATTCCAAATCATCATTCTACCTCATCACTGAACAGTGGCTTTGTTGGTAGAAATTCAATTATCCCAACTGCAAATGATCCCCAAATTGATATTTACTTCTTTTAAGCTGCATAAAGAGTGGGATACACAGTGAAAATCAAACAGTAAACAGAAACTCATTACCATATTGTAATAATGATTTGTCTCATGGTAAGTTCAAATGTGCTTTCAACGACTTGAAAAAAAGTCGCTATAATTTCATCAGTTACAAATTTATTAATTGTTCTATTCAGTGAATCTTATTTTTTAACTGAATGAAAATAAATAAAATAAAAATACTGAGATTTCATTGTTCGTATTTAATTGTCTCCCTTTGACTGACGTTCTTAATTCTCTAGTGTCGTCATTTTTGCTTTTATCGAAAACGACGTCTATTGCTCAGTTAATTAATTTAATTAGAAAACATTAGTTTATTTAACATTTTATCCTTTGTCTGTTTTCTCAAACATTGCATTGACTTAGAGAAACCAAATCATAAAGCGAAAAAAAGCAGTAAGTATTAATTTATTGGTTTACAAATAAATAAAAAACTAAACAGTTATGACATGTATTTTCAAAAAATGTTTTTCGCTTACGAGGAATTATTTTAAAATTTAAGAAAATACTTAACCTTTTTTTTTTATTAATGAGTGAAAAATTAATCTGCAATTTGTCGAATCTTTTATTAGAAATTGATTTATCTTTTTATTTAAAAAATATTGTACTCTTTATTATTTTTTTATCTTTCGCCTTTTACCATTTTTATTAATTTGTGAAGTAAGTTAGAGAAAAATCATACGGAAAGACAATCTGCTAGCTAATATCAAATTATTAATTACTTCAGGATGATTTTTCTCAGTTTTTAATTTTTCTATTTATATGAAAGTTTTTCATTTTCAAAAAATTATTCACTGCCGGACATGAGCCGGTGTTACTTCAATTATAGTCCCTAATATTAAAATCGTCTTTTAATTGTAAGGTAATTAATAAGCAGTGACAAGTGCTAACAAAGTGTTGACAGTTTTATTGTTGTTCTATGGAGGCATTATCTGTTAAAACATAATTTAAGAAAATCCCCGTAATCTAACTTTAGGGATGTTGACTTTAAATTTACTATAGTCATCATCACTCTTATTTTCTGATAATGTCATGTACGCTCGACCATACTTGCAAAAATGGGCATGTTACGTAATATTTTACATACATAAAATAAATAAAAATATTATTTAAAAAATCTTGGCGCAAAATGGTTTGCATTAAGCTTTTCAATTTTTTATTAGTAAATAGTTTTTATAGCTGGTCTTGACCATTGTTTTGGTAAAATAAGGACACTTCTCTTCCAACTGATGTAATGAACAAATATAATTTTTTATTTCTTCAAAAACACTGTGAAATACTTGTGCAACAACAACCAATGTCAAAAACTGCTAGAGAGAGACTAATTATTTCTTAAACCATTCAAATTTTTAGTATTCAGGTTATGAGCAAGGAGTTTTCTCTTTCTTTGACTTCCCCTCAAAATTCAGAACTAGTCACATGACCAAAAAATGGGCACAGTTGAATCATGGGATTTGGGATGTCCCTTACAAAGTTGTTTCCCCAACATCATCTATATTGAAAATTATAAAACATAATTAACTCTAGCTAGATTTATTTTCACACCATTCAGTGATAGATACAGTTTTCACTTAATAACAATATCACCAAACTGGATAAAAGTAATTCAGAATTTTAAAAGATTTATATACTATTAATTATTATAATTAAAATTTTTAAAAAATGTAAATAATTCTTGGAAAAATTCATTATTCATCAAAAAACAATTCTTTCTTAAGATAATAGAAAAATTATTAAGTTTTAAATGTTTAAAATTCTGTATTAATTTCAGCCTTTTAAATGATATTATTATTAAGTGAAAATTATATTTACTAATCATAAATAGAAAATCTAAAACAAATCATCAAACACCAATATTTTTAAAATTATTTTGAATTTTTCTGTATATGTATAAATGTGCCAGTTTTTGTAAGTATAGGCAGCCATACATGACATCATAAGAAAATACAAGTGATAACTATAGTAAATTTAAAGCCGAAGTTTAGAAAATTTAATAAAACAAAAGGTTATCAATAAGTCTCTCAACATATCAAAAAAACACACTCTATGTCAAAAATATGCTTTTCTACTATATATGAAGCTTAAATGAGCTAATATTTGTTTCAAGTCAGATTAATTACACTTAATGTTTGTAAAATAACTTTTCAGAAAAGCATATTTATTTTTTAAACAGTTTTGAAAATTAGAAAATTATTTTATATTGACAAATCTGTCAATATGTACAAATTTATAGATTTTACTAGTAAGGAGGAAAAAGATTCCTGTCAATCTAAATTCAGCTTGAAATGCACCAAAGTATTTTCATTATTGGAAATATTATTAGCTTAGAATTAAAAACTAAAATTAAAGCTTAAAGAAAACTTTAAATTTTAAACTTTGGTATAGGAGTTATGGAGATACTTATAAAAATGATTTGTATCCGCAAAACTACATCACTTCAGACTAGCAAGACAAAACTTAAAGCTGCATTTTAAATCATTTAAATGTTTCCTTCACTGCTGAAATATTGGGTATATTTGAAAGATAATAATCAGTCAAATAATTCTAAATATGACTTTAAAATATGACTTTTGAACATTTTTCAAACATTGGTAAAATTGTTTATCCCTCATCAAACCCCCCATTATTGAGAAAATCAAAAAATCTCTTAAAAATCCAATATTTGTCCTCAGAATTTGTTTCAAACTAAATTAGTAAATTTAAGGATTATCTGGAATTTGCTTTCTGCTTAAAATATTACAAAAAATAATGTTTATTTATGCATAGTTTTCTGTGAGCTATCATCAAAGTGACAGGTCAACAACAGTAGTACTCTCAGACACCCCACTTAAAGGAAAAAGTACATTAGAAACTGATTTAAGTAGAGCGGACAGAAAATACTATAATCTAGAATCTGCATAAGAATGAATTATCTTCAACCGTGTATCAACCATAATTTATTAATATATATTTTTATTCTGTAGGCATTTATGAAACTTAAGAGAAGGAATCATTTCACTTTTTAGGCTATAATAAGAGTACAGAAAAGAAATTAAAAAAAAGTAGTTAAATAATTCTTTTGTGTTTTATTTATTACATTTATTTTTTTAATTATTTTTTGTCTATTTAATGTCAAAAAATATTCAATTTAATTTTTCTAAAATGTTTCTGATTTTGTTTAGCAGCATATCAACTCCTTATGGGTCATTTAATGCTGAAATTAATTTTTCTTGAGTACATCAGTAGTTTCTTCTCTTTTTTTACACAAAATTACCGCTGGTAATTTTCGTTTTACAAAAATCTAGTGCTGGTACTATTTTTTTTCCTTTACAAAAATGTCTTGCTGGTATTTTTTTTTTTTTTCAAAAATGTATTGATGATTAATTTTACTATAAAAATATATTGCTGGTATTTTTACTATAAAATGTATTTTTTATACTTTCATTATTTTTTTTATTCCAGTTTGAGGCTTAACTATTTTTCCCATAGCTGGGATCTTAAATGGTCCTACCACCTTTGATCAGGATTGACCTGTGGATAACAGCAATTAAAAGGTGATTCCACTCTCCTCAAAACATCCAATCTCCTGATCAGAGGCCTTGCTGCCAGATAAATTTTTCATCATAGCAAGGACGTCATTCTGATTTTAAACTTTCTTAAATTACAGAAAAAGCTACTATAAAAAGGTGAAAAAATTAACTTCTTTCTATATGTGACACTGAGAATATTCATGAAATGACCATCATATGTAAATAATTAAAGAAATTTAAACTGTCAGGGAGGAAAGCCCAGATTATTATTATTATTATATATAAAAATAATATATTGCTAACAGTAAACTTTCCTATTCTAATTCTAAACAAATTCATGCAAGAAACAGAATATTAGATTTTTTTTAATTGTTATTGTTGAAACCACACATATTCGTAGTTGGATGCAAGCAAGTCAGCAAGAGTGATGTATGTTTTTGTACTTATATATTTAGTTATTGTAAATAAATGCAACCCATCAAGTTGAACATGTGATGTTACTCTTTTCATCCTTATGTCCAGTCTTTTATACTGGTATTTCCATTATCACAGAGAAAATAATTGTCACATTTAAACTTGTGGGTTAAAAAGTTTTCTCATATTTTTTATTAATAATGGAGTTTGCCTTTGCTTCAGACAAAAATCATATGTAAGAATTTTTGTAGTCATGTTATCTTCTGTTTCAGTTAAATTATATGCAGCTATTTAAATATGTGAATTATTTTCTTTCATAATACCTCTTCTTTGTTTACAGGTATCAATAAGAGGTGAGAAGGATAATTTGAAAAAAAGACATGCAAACACATGCCAACAACAAAAACACGTTCTTGTTAGGTGCATGTGTTTTCACAGTGTTTCTGTTTAAATAGTCATATACAAGTGCATCAAGAAGAAACACATTAAAGTTTTTTCATCAGCATTTTTACTAAAGTACACACCCAAGGACAACTCTTGTGAAGTGTTGCAGATCAGTATTTTCATTGGGTTTTATATTTAAAAAGACACTATGCAAAAACATACTGGGCAGAAACAACTTTCATGTGAATTGTGTGGATCAATATTTTCTTTGAGGTCCAGTTTGAAAAGACACATGCATAAGCACACTGGAGTGAAACCATTTTCTTGTCAAGTATGTGGATCAGCATTTTCAGATAGCTTCAGTTTAAAAAGACACATGCGAATACATACAGGTGAGAAACCGTTTTCATGTCAAGTTTGTGGATCAGCATTTTCTGATAGCTCCAACTTACAAAAACACATGCGAATACACACAGGAGAGAAACCATTTTCATGTCAAGTTTGTGGATCAGTGTTTTCAGAGAGTTCCAAATTAACACAACACATGCGAAGACACACTGGTGAGAAACCTTTTTCATGTGGATTGTGTGGCTCGGCATTTTCAGAGAGCTCCAATTTGAAGTATCACATGCGGATTCACACAGGAGAGAAACCATGTATTTGTCAAGTGTGTGGATCCACATTTTCACAGAGTTCTAGTTTGAAAAAACACATGCGAGTACACACTGGAGAGAAACCATTTTCTTGTCAAGTTTGTGGATCAGCATTTTCAGTGGGCTCCAGTTTAAAAACCCACATGCGTATCCACACTGGAGAGAAACCTTTTTCTTGTGAATTGTGTAATTCAACATTTTCACAAATCTCTAATTTACACTATCACATGCGAATGCACAGTGGAGAGAAACCATTTTCTTGTCAAGTGTGTGGATCAGCATTTTCTGATGGTTCCTATTTAAAAAAACATATGCGAATACATCTTGGAGAAAAACCATTTTCTTGTTCAGTGTGTGGCTCAGCCTTTTCAGAAAGATCTAATTTAAAAAGACATATGCGAATACACACTGGAGAGAAACCATTTTGTTGTCAAGTTTGTGGATCAGCTTTCTCAGATGGTTCAACTTTAAAAAAGCATATGCGAATACACACTGGTGAGAAACCATTTTCTTGTGAATTGTGTGGTTCAGCATTTTCACAGAGCTCCAATTTAAAGCTCCACATGCGAATGCACACTGGAGAGAAACCATTTTCTTGTCCAATGTGTGAATCGGCATTTTCACGTCATCACCATTTAAAAGATCACATGCCATTACACACTGGAGAAAAGCCATTTTCTTGTCAAGTGTGTGAATCAGCCTTTTCACGTCATTACCAATTGAAACAACACATGCAAATTCACCATGAGAAAAAATGAATTTCTTGTCTAGTGTTTGGCTAAACATAATTAGGTTCTGCTATTTAAAAAAAAAAAAAAAAAAAAACATGCAAATATACATTGGAGAGAAAAGATTTTCTTGGTAAACATGTGTGTAGGATTTTTACATAATTCCATTCATAAAGAACAAAATTTAACCTGTTTGAGTCAGATAGCATCCAATTAGTTTATCGTAAACAATTGTCACTTGATTTGTCAACTCTTGGGTTATTTAATGTGGAATTTTGTCTGAGTACCCAAACTGACTCCCAAATACTCATGGTTCCCCAGATTAGTCTCATAAACTGTTTCTGTTTCACTAGAAAAAAAAAAAAATTCTTATAATACCAAATATATGTGGGTCACCCACAGGCTGTACACTTCTGAATTCAGAGTTATTCTTCTTTAATGGTTGACAACCAAGGCTTTAGGACCGAGTCTTTTCTGCTATTTACCCATAGGTTATTGAAGAAGAGATGGATTTATACCTTTCCCAAGGATAATAATACATAAGTGGATATAATGAACCCAACTGGAATTCAAACTTGGTTCTCTAATTGCAGAATCTGAGCTGCTGTCCACTGTGCTTCACAACAAATTCTTCAACCAGAGTAGGCTCATGTTCATGTACCCTTGAAGTTGCCATAGCAACATGGACTACTCAAAGTGTTTCATATCTACAATTAATCATTCTAGTCGAAAATATCAGAGGTAGGGATTGTGTCAGCTGCAATGGCACTGGTGAGCTGTATCTCATTGATGAAGGTTACAGCAATACAATGAAAGAAACCATGTTGCCTTTATACAAACATTTGAAGAAATGTTCTGTTTCAGCATAAAAAGGATCCAAAACACGGCTAATTAAGATTTAACAGTTGAGCTCTAGAGTACTGTCTTATGTATATTGTGTAATATTCAATAAGAATTAATAAAATGCACTCTCTAATTAGAAAAAAAAGATAAGTTTCTAGCGAAAAAAATGTTGTTAGCCCTTTTCATTTGTGGGTGATTGTGTGTGGCTCAACATCTTCAATGGGTTCAAAGTTAAAATACTATTGTGAGCATAGACTAAAGAAAACTTAATATGTTTGTAGATTGTTGGAAGTCTAGAGAAGTAAATATGCTAACCATAGAAGCAGACAGTTATTTCTATATTTTTTTAATCAGGAGATTGGTTAATAAAAACCTGAAAAAATCCACTGTGGAATTTGATAATATGGTCAAAGAAGCGTGTGTTGTGGTTGATTTTATGATAGTACCTGTCTCTCAAAAAACTGGCTAATTAGTACTATTGGTTAACCAGAGTAGGCTTATGCTAATGCACCATTGAAGTTGTCATGGCAAGGTTAACAAATCAAAGTGTTTCATATCCAAAATGAATAATTCAAGTGGAAATATTAGAGGTAGAATTTGTGTCAGCTGTAATGGCACTGGTAAACTGTATTTCATTGATGAAGGTTACAGCAATATTGTGAAAGAAACGATGTTGCATTTGTGCAAAAACTTTAAAAAATGTTCTGTTTCAGCATAAAAATGGCCCAAAAGACTATTAATTAAAATTTAACACTTGAGCAATGTCTGGAAGAAAAAAGAACGCCAGTGACCAACCAAGGAGATAGTGTTGAAAGATTGTCTATTGTTGGAATAGAAAAGACACAAGTGCCTGTGTAAATTTAGTTCAGTGTCATCCAAGAATACAAGCAGTAATAAAATAGATAGTGGGAACACATGTCAAAGTAGTGAAATTTCCTTCAATTGCAACTGCTGATATCTCGTTTATTTTCTAGGCTATTCTGATAAGATTATTACATAAACAACGTTTCATCTTTTCTCTTTTTAAAGATACAATTCTTTTTTCATGTGTAATGATTATGTTTTTCTTCCATGTATCTTTCAATTCTCACTCTTTCATTGAGAGTGATTTTCCAGATTTTCAAAGTTGACTATTTCACAGGGGTATTTTTCAAATTAGTTACTCTCAGAGTTGTGTCTGTTCACACATATCAAAATAGTCTCATCTTAAAGAAAAACTGATGCTCATCAATTTGGTGGGCAAACCATAAGGTTTGAAGTTGTCTTCCACAAAGACTTTCTAGTGGATGAAATGCCAGAGAAATTCAACACTTAAAACAAAACTTACACCTCCTCATAGAGCAATGCCTCGTCTTTAATAATCAGTTGGTTTCATATCTCTGTCCCCAAATAACCCAAGGTCCACACAAATAAAAAAGAGTATATAGTGTTCATTTTGTGCAAAACAGTCTGATCTGATACATCAAAATTTGTATTGCTGAGTGAAGGAACATCACTTGCTGAATCTCATTTTAAATCACTCATTTCATCGATGGATATTACAGTGTAAATCTTTTTCTAAATTTTTTAAATGATGCTTTTTAGAACTGTATAAAGCACTTATTTATTTTTTTTAAATAAATTCAAACTGACTGGACAAAATAAAACAATATTTTATTTTGTACCAAACTGTCAACTCAAATTCTATTTTTATTTAATTTAAAAAAAAAAAATAACTGAAATAATAAAATATGCAGGGTATACTTTAAGGTCTTTAAATTTTACCCATTCTCATTTGTCAATAAAAACTTAAAATAGAACTTTTAATGGTCATTTGTTAAGTATTACTAAATAAACTTACTGAAAAAAACAATAAATGAATTTTGAATAATGGAAATGTTGCTTTTGAAGTGAAATTTTGTTTTTATTTGAAAGATAACAGTCTAAAGGTAATTTGTAAAAAAAAAAAAAAAAGAAAACAATTTTACATATTTAATAAGTTTTAACAAAAAGGTGAAACATTTTAACACATTTTATTATGGTCAATTACTGAATCTCTATTCTTGACAACAAATGAAAATAAATTTAAATATCAAAGATTTATCTTTGTTTCAAAGTAAATTAGTAAAATTAAAAATAACTGACAGATTTTAGAGTAGAGCTCATTTTTTGCTTAAAACATAGTGAAAATAACCTTTATAACACTATAACTTGTATGATATTACAACCACAATAGCCTTCTAATGATAACACTCAAAAATGGTATTAAACTTTACATTTTCAGTTCTTAAAACATGTCTTCATTTAATAGAAAAATCTCTTATTGAAGGAATTTCAGATCTGATAGATAAGTTCTGTCTGATGAAGCAGGAGAAGCTCCCTTGAAATGGCTGGTGCTGTGAATGGCCCTCTGGGTTGGAAAGTGGCTTTGTTTAATGGGAATAGAAATTTTGCTGGTGAATGTGAAGAAACTATCAAACATTCCTTCTTCCACTGCAGTGTCATATGCCAGTTGTGAAAGTTAATTGTGGATTTCATGATTCACATACAGTATTTACATTAGTCGGACTATTGTCCTCATCTTTGTCGCCATATTTGTCCACGACATTTTCGGCATTGATTATGCGCTCCGGCCTTCTTCAGGTGGTTGGTATTATAAACCTAATGTTTTCAGCATCATTTTTACCAGTGCTCACTTAGGTTTATAATAGTGCCAGAAGTTCATACCCAGATGTCCTCAAGGACACATGGCACAGTGGATAAAGGCATTGGTTAGATCCAGTGACAGAACCCAAAGAAGGTGAGTTGTCACTGGTTAAGGCAGTGGAGAACTTTCAGAGGGAAAATTAGCAGGAGATAACTGATAACTGACATCCGTCAAACATGGCACGTGGAATTAGAACAGTTTACCCCAGTGATCGAAATAAAGGGTTCAGTTCGAAATTCCAACCACCTGAAGAAGGCTGGAGCGACATAACGGTCAAACGTTGTGACAAATATGGCGACAAAGATGAGGACAATAGTCCGACTAATGTAAATACTGTACATAATACCTCATCTCAGAAATATAGACAAACTATGATTCACATGTTGCCCAGAAAGTCTGTAGTGATGTGTTACACTCATTGACGAAGGCTGTTCTTTTGTTTTGAGTCATGGTGTCCTGATCTTGTACCTTAAGCATCAGCATGCCTCACCTTGAAGAATTTTCTTTCAACCATCCAAGAAAGCTAAGTATTTCAAACTATCCTGTCTTCGTCTACTTTTGAATGTATACAAAGCATATATCACTTCTGTAGACAACAAATTTTCTTACCTTTGTTTTAAACATTTTTTAATATTATTTTGTGTTAGATATTTTAATCTGTTAATCTTTTCCTCTTCAGGAAAATATGTTAAAACTATGGACTTTAAAAATTCCTGATTTATTTTCCTGAAACAAGCTACTGACACAACTTCAAGTGTGTAAATTCATGAATAAATTCCTTATCTTTCTTTTTTGTTAAAATTAGTCTGTTTCCTCATCATTACTATCCTTCATTAATCTTCTTGGCATGGATAAACCAACTGTTCATTTTAAACCCTAAGCCCCATGCTACTATATACAATTGTGTTGGAAATAGGATTTATTTCCTATACTAGATTGGTGGCAACGTGTTATCTTTTTACAGTTGAAATAGTAAGTTCTATGCTAACGGCTTCTTTTCTTGCACTTTCTTGAAACAAATATTACTTATAGAATAAAATGTTGTATACAAACATTTCTTAACTACGGGGTCTTGCTTTTCTAATGTGTTCTGACGATTTATTGACAGCCTAACATGTTCATAGTTAAGTATGATGGAGCAGATGATAAGGTTCATATGAGGGATATTTTTTTGCCCTGTAAGGGGGAACAAGTGTTAAAACATGTGACCTTTTAATGTTGGTGTTATAGGTATGATCGTTCATACTTTAAAATTCCGTATGTATATCACACATACAAAAACAAAGTGAAATTCTTTTAAAAGTATTCAGGAACATTAGATTGTAATAAGCTTTACAATATACAATTAGTAAATATAATTTTACTTAATAACAAAATTTTCTAAGATTTATCTCATTGAAAATGAATTTTAAAAGATTTAAAAACTTTATAAATTATTCCATTATTACTAAATCATTGTGTCATCAAATAAGTCCTTCATTTTTTTTACGTCAATGGGAAATTATACTGAATAATTTAGCTATTTGATGTATATAGTCAAGTGCAGTAGTTCTAGTGTGATTTTCAATAAACAATGCAAATTTAAAACATTTTGTTTTAGAATTTGTGACAGCAGTATTATGGTGTTATATACACTTTTATCTATTTTTGTTTTTATTATTTATGATCTAATAAATGATGTAACAAATCTTATTCTTATGCCTTTGTTGTAATCTTTTATAATTCTTTTTACTTATCAAATACAGTAAAAAAAAATGCATATTTTGCTTGTTGTGATTCTTAATTAGAATTCTACACAAGATATTAACTTTATTTGGATTTATTCTTGAAATAGTAAAATTTTGAAGTCTGTAAGCAAAAATTAGGTTAGACAATATTTCAAACTAAAATAATGCTCAAAAATTGTGAAAGTTATTAATCTAATTTCTGTGCCAGTACTTATCACATCAACCCCCAGCTTTCACACCGAGTGCAATGTTGACCAGTGACAGTTCGTTTAAAAAAAAAAAAAAAACTCAGCTACAGTGTAACCCGGATATAAGAGAGTTATCTTGACCGGAGAAGAAGTCTCTTATATCCGGGTTACACTGTACCAACTGAGGCCCAAATCGATATTTACTTCCCTTAAGCCGAGCGCCACAAGACTGGGAAACACAGTTGAGAATCAAACGACGACATAACTGCATTTATAAACTCAGTTCAGTGAGTTTATTTTATTTTAATTGAATAAACTAAACAGAATTAAATACTGAGAATAAAAGAGAATTCACATTTATCTTCTTTATGGCTTGTATTAATTATCTCCCTTTGACTGACGCTCTTAGTCTTGTCATAATTAATCGAAAATGACGTCTATTGTTCTACTTAATTAGAAAACTTCAGTTTATTTATCCTTTGTCTGTTTTCTCAAACATTACACTGACTTAGGGAAATCGTATCATAAAGCAAAATAAAGCAGTAAGTATTAATTTCTTTGTTGACAAATAAAAACAGTTATTTCTAGAATTGTTATTCACTCACCACGGAGAATAATTCTGAAAATATCTTTTTGGGAAAATAACCTTTTTTATAATAAAAGTTTTAATTGAATGTGAAAATGATCTGCAATTTTTGTTGAATCTTTTATTTATTGGAAACTGATGTAAATTTTAATCTTTTTAAAAATTTACGTTGTCTTTTTCTTTTTTCTTCTCGTCTTTTTATTTGTTAAACTTGATTTGTGAACTTAGAAAATCATTCGAAAAAACAATAATTAATTTATTTCAAGATGATTTTTTTTATCAGGTTTTAATTTTTCTATTTACATGAAAATTTATTATTGTTAGTTAAAAAGATTATTCATTGCTGGATATGAACCGGTGTTATATCATTTATAGTCCCTAATATTAAAAGCGTCTTTTAATTTTAAAACTAAAAGAAATCAATATTAAAATTCGATTGTGTTATTGATTAATGTCCATATTATTTATGGTTCATTTGAGTGAGTCTCATAATCACTAATTTAACAAAGCATATTCCAACCGAGAATGAATGCATTCCAGTTATGCGAAAGAAAAAAAGAATGAGAAAATCAGATACCCACTCAAAAAGAAAAATCTATATAACAAAAGTTTTAAAAAATCCATTTTTAAAAAAAGGAAAAATCTTTATTGGAGCTTTAATTTTAGTTTTAATTTCAAGCTAATAAATTTTTAATTAGGTGGCTCCAAAGTCCAACTTATTTTTTTCAAAAAAGATTATCATGCTGAAAAAAGGCCCCGAACTTGATAAAAACAAAGTTTTATCGTTAAAATTTTATGTTAAGAGGAAACCAAAATATTTGTTATTATTTTATTAATTTTCTTTAATCCTTTGTAGGACGTTTGAAATTTCGGTTAAAAATGTTTTTCTTGCGTCAGCGGGTAGGCCAAAGATCAATATGGATAGCCTCTTTTTTTTGGCGTTAAAAACTGATTGTTTTGGAAATTCTTACAAAAGTCAAATAACCGTCGATTTTAATGCAATTTCCAGGACCTGTTAACAATAATTATTTTTGAATGTTTTTTTTTTTTATGGAAACGCTTAATACAAATCATCAAATACAATATTTCTTTTTATTTTCAATTTTTTGTATGTGTACGTGATAATTTTTGTAAATATGGGCAACTATACTCAACTCAACATATAGGGAGTTTCACTACTTCGCTAAAAAAGAGCATACTCTGATGAAAAAACGCCCCAAAACTGATAAACAATTGTTTTTATCGTCTAAATGTTTGTTATTATTAAGAGGAAAGACCAAAGTATTTTTTGATTATTTTTTAGAATTTTTAAAAATCCTTCCAAGCACGTCCAAAATTTTAGTTAATAATCTTGTTTTTTATTTTTTGAGTCAGCAAAATTGACATAAAATCGAACATATCACATATTTTTGACTAATTTGTAAACAAAAGTGAAATTCTCCATTTAAAAATCTTGTAAAATTCAATGATACTTTTTCAATAGTTATTCTAGGAACATTAGAAAATTTAAAGTATACTTAAAGTTATTGGAAACAAATATTACTTAATTTTTTAGCAGAGAAAATTTAGTTGAAAATAAGAGAAGCATATCTAACCGTAGTGATTGGTTTTGGGGATGTGAATTGACATTTACATCAATGTATCAACAATTAACATCAGGGTAATTTATCAGATAGAAGGACAGGAGTGACAGTATTTTCGATTTTGAGGTGACCCAGCTTATTTAACTATAAAGTAATTTTTAAAAATTAAATACTTTCAAAAGTCTAATATTTTATTGATTTTTTAGGTACATTTTTAACAAAGATACATCCTAAGCCTGCACTGTTTCCATCCCTGAAAATCTGAAAAAGAAAAAATGAATAATTGCAGTATGGCTCTCATTGAAAAACAATAAATTATATTTAAAAAATGAAATTAAAATATTTAGTGAAATATGTTGTGAAAAAGAAAATTAAAATCTTTGAAAATGCAACGATGATGGTCAATCAGAGAATTTGATATGTGCTAGCCAGAAGGAAAGCAAAGAAATTTCTTAAGGCCTTTCTCTTAGAACATGTGACCTATCATTTCTGAACTGCATAGTCCATAATGATAGGTCCATACTTTTAGAGAAAATGGTTTTAATACATTTTTCACATATTAAAAAATATTTTGAAAATACTATTGTATCACAAATTGTAATAAGCTTTCAAATTTAATGATCTGTAAAAATAGATCTTTTTAATAACAGCATTTCCAAAAATACACAGATTCAAACTTAATTTTAAAATACTTAACTAATTTATCACTTTTTGTATTCAAAATTGGAAAAATATTTTGGCTTATATTATTCATAAAAGCCAATAAAAGCTTTTTTAATTAAATAATGTCTTAGTTTTATTGGGTTTTGTATTATAACATTCAGAGCAGAATTTTAGGTAAAATTTGGGTTGAAATTTACTAAAAAAATCTGAAGATTTATATTCTTCAAAGTCTTCTGCTTTTAACTGATATAATCACAAAATTACACAGAAGTTGAATTTTTGAGATTTCATAAAATTATGTAAAGGGGGGGGTTAACAGATGTAAAAAAAAATATTTTTACCATGATTTTCTAAAAAAAAAACATTTCTAAAATAATTTCATTCATTTGTGAATAAGTTCTGAAAGTTTTAGTAAAATCTGACAATTATTTGATTTTTGCAGGAATATCAAAATTAATATGTTTATCAACTGAAAAAAAATGCTAAAAACCTAAAGAAAAAAAAAGAAAAGATTTTTAACCAACATTTCGAATATGGTAGAAAGTATTAAAAAAAATTTTCAAAATAATTAAAAAATACTTTGGTCTTTCCTCTTTGTTTTTATTAAGTTTGGGGCCTTTTTTCATTGTGCTATGCTGCTTTTTCAGTGAATTACTGAAGATACCTATCAAAAAATAAAAGCATTAACTATATATAACATTTTTTTTCCAGATTGATTGTAAGAATCTATAAAATCGTCCTTATTGACAAATCTGTCAACACAACATCATTCTTTTTATTAAGAAATCTTTCAAAAATAAAATGTACTTTTCTGAAACATTAGGAAACATTAGCTGAATTAAACTTTAATCTGAACTGAAACAAATATTGCTATGCAAGGTATACCAACACTGTAGAAGATATCCCCAGGCTTTGCACTTAAACTGTCTTGAAGTAGATCACATAATGTCACACATTTGATTCTCAGGTGCAGTCTTAGATCCTGACATTTCCATTACAACTAACCAAGTAGAAAATATTTGTCACATTCAAACTTGTTAAATGTTAGAGTGTAAAAACTTTTCTTGTATTTTTTTATCAATAATGGAGTGTCCTTTTGCTTCAGATAAGTATCCTGTGTAAACATTGTTATCTTCCATTTGAGTGAAATTATTTGCATCAAATCATATATACGAGCTTATTGTTTTCTTTCATAATACCTTTTTTTTTATTTACAGGTATCAATGACAGGTGAGTAGGATAAGTTAAAAAGAGACATGCAAACACATGCCAACAAGAAAAACACGTTCTTCATAGGTGTGTGGGTTTTCACAGCATTCCTGTTTAAATAGTTAAAAAGGAAAAAAATTCTGGATTCAAAGTTTTTCATCAGCATTTTTACTAAATTCACATTCCAAAGTACACACCTAAAGACATAGTATAGAGCAACTCTTCTAAAGTGTTGTAGGTTAGTATTTTCACAGTTCTTATATTTAAAAAGACATGCAAAAACACACTGTGGAGAAAAAACATTCATGTGACTTGTGTGGATCAGTATTTTCTTTGATGTCCAGTTTGAAAGTACATATGCGCAGACACACTGGAGTGAAACCATTTCCTTGTGAAGTATGTGGGGCAGCATTTTCAGTTAGCTTCAGTTTGAAAAGACACATGCGAATACATACGGGAGAGAAACCGTTTTCATGTCAAGTGTGTGGATCAGCATTTTCTGATAGATCAAATTTACAACAACATTTGCGAATACACACAGGAGAGAAACCATTTTCTTGTCAAGTTTGTGGATCAGCTTTTTCAGATGGTTCAACGTTAAAAAAACATATGCCAATACACACTGGGGAGAAACCATTTTCTTGTGAATTGTGTGGTTCAGCATTTTCCCAGAGCTCCAATTTAAAGCTCCACATGCGAATGCACACTGGAGAGAAACCATTTTCTTGTCCAATGTGTGAATCAGCATTTTCACGTCATCACCATTTAAAAGATCACATGCGAATGCACACTGGAGAGAAACCATTTTCTTGTCAAGTTTGTGGGACAGCATTTTCACGTCATCACCATTTAAAAGATCACATGCGAATTCATAATGCAAAAAAATGATTTTCAAATGTGTGGTTAGGATTTTCCCAAAATTTTAATTTTGAAAAAGCCTATGGAAAGTAACAACATTTAGTTCTAAAGTGTGTCAGTCACCATTTTAGCAAGTGACATTTTAAAAATGCACATGCAAATATGTATGAAAGTGATACCATTGTGTGTCGAGTGGAATTTTTCCCAATTTCCAGTGAAAAATTAGAATCAAACTCAAAAGTGCCTAATGTATTTTTCAAATATACAGTAATGACCATAAATGAGCGCACCCCATCTACTTTTTAATAAAATGTTTTCTTGCAATTCACACAAAGAATTATATTGTTTCTCATAGAATGTAAAGATACTATGCAATCTTTGCCCAAGTTTTCCACAGGCTTATTAATCAATGATTTCTTTCACATTACATCTAGATTCTCTATGTCATCAGTGTGCACCAAAGGGCCTGTTGTAGTGCTCACAAGGCAAACACCATTTTAAGAAATAAGAATGTGAACCCTATTTCATATATTTTATTCAAGGTTTCACTTGTTCATCTGGCTGGGTATGTAGGTGATACTTTGGACAAATTTTGCTATGTTGGCACTTGTGCCTCCTCTCCTCACCTGTCAGTACATCCTAATGTGTGGCTGGCAATACAAATGTACACTACAGGAACCATGTACCAAACAGACATGTCTATCTTGCACCAAGAGCAGACCAGAATTGCCTCAGTATGACTGTTATAGCACCTGGATATACAATTTTCCAATTTTGTTGTTCATTGATCGCTGAAACCGCTTCATCTACTCCTTTACTTCCCAATTTCCTTCAGTTAAAGAGGATGCCACTTCAAAACTTCAAAAGGGACGCATTTTAAATAAAAGAGAAACAGTTGAGATCAAAATAAAACCACCTTCCCCATCTATATTATACAAAAACATGGATATGACCAAACTTTATAGCATTGAAAATCTGATACAAAAAATATGAAAATGTTGCCATACAAAATTGTGTAAACCTCTGCAAAAAAAAAGAAAGATTTTTCCTTTCTATATATTAAGTGTATTTTTAAAAGTTTATTGTTCATGTTTTCCTCTTAAAAGAACAGTTTTTCCCTTGACATCACTATTATTTTGTTACTCCCTTGGCATTGTTTACTTATAGGATTATAAAAATATGAGGATCATGTACAATGCAATATTTATTATTTACCATTTTATAAATAACAATGTAAACATGTTTTTTATTTATATCTTTTATAAAAATATCAATTATAAAACAAAATTTGAATGAACCTGTGATTTTCTGGACACAATACATTTTCTTCTCACATTTATTTTATATCACAAGTTACTTCTTGTTTGAATTTTCCATTTTTTTTATAATCATGATCTTGAAATCCAAGGCCTGAAACTCCAGCAATTATAGGTTACTCCCCCCACTTATTTATTTTCTTTATAAATTGATAAATGCTAAACATTGTATTAGTTGGTAATATTTGTAGGATTCACATTTTTAGGATGTTGCAAATATAAAATTATTCTTGTAAGTCAGTGATGCTCAACCTATTTTGCCCCATGCACGCTTTTCATTATAAGTCAGGATGTCATTCTCCCCATTCCCATAATTGTCCAACTCAAATTTGCATTCCAAATAATATGCATATATTATTGAAAATCTTTATTCTTTTCTTATTAGTTCATATACATTTACATGGATTATTTTTCTAATGGCAACAAAACACAAGAGCTAGTGTAAAGAAAACCCAGTTTGACCTCTCAGTTGCATGGACCGATGCACATTGTGGATTGTGCCATCTTGGGGAGTTCGAAAGTTAGCATTTTGGTTCTACCAATCTGTGGCCTCAATTCCCCCCCACCCCAAAAGACTGGTTGAGAACCCCTGTTGTAAATAAACAATCTAATGAATAAATAGTGTTGTTTTTTTTGTTGTAAATCATCATATATTTCAGTTTTATTCCAATTCTAATCATCACTTTTTTAAAACAATACATGTCAAAGAGTGAAGGTGGTTAAAAAAAAGCAGTGTCATGGGAAAAACTGTCCTTTTTAATGCAGGGACATCAATCCATGTCTGCCTATATTTTTAATAATAATAAATATACTATGTCAGATTTTATTGCACAAGTCAATGTTTTCACAAGAATTTGGTGTTAATTGATAACTCCTGTTTTATTACTTTAACTTATTCTTGATATAAAGCAAACTGTTTTTTTCAATTTGTTTTCTGCATTTGCAGCTTTCATATGACATTTAAACTACTCTGTTGTATATGCATGTATGTAATGGTAATTCATTATACAGAGAAGAACAACACTAGAGAATGACTAAAAGAATCAATACACATGCTGTGCATTGAACCCCTCCCCTCTCAGCAGATCCAGCATAGAGATAAATATAATACTGATTAGAAAGGACATTCAAAAAGAATTCCACTACACAAGACAGGCCATTCATAAAATCTGGCCACCAGACTATAGATAAGACTTTTAAAGCTCCATAATTTCTATATTAGAGACATATGGCCTAGTGGATTAAAATAGTGGTTAAAACATGTTTAGCTCCATAGTATGTGGGAGATCAATTGGAAAAGCCATATGTTCTGGTTCAGTGGAAGAAACTGACAAGTGATATGAAAGTGAATCAAACAGGTGACTATTAATGGATATGACATATCCCCTGAATGTGGAAAGCAGAATGATTGAATAAAGATATCAGTACAAAAATACAACTAGGTTATCAAGTATGAATACAGATGCCTGAAGATGGTCAGAGAGGAGGACAACTAAAATGTGAATATGACAATCAAGAGGAGCATGCTTGTTTAACCTTTATCACTCTGTATATGACTTCATTTGCCGTACAAAAAGTTTATCCTGCCACTGAAGGTGACTCTGATCCCTGAACAATAGTGTATTTGAATTTCATAGTTGTGTTGCCATATCCTGCTATGGCAACAGAAAACAACTTTGAGTGAAATTAACAATAAGGATACTGAGTGGCCTTGAAAAAGAATGCAGTAAAAAGGGAAGTGATATTAATAATGCAGAGTTCTAAAGGTTAAATAGTAAAGCATATAATAATGATAAAATCTGTCAGGAAAAAAATTATTGAATTTTACTTCCTAGTTTTTTGCTGTTGCATCAGTTGGTAATGAATTTATGCAGTTAAACGTTCATATCCAATCTTTGAGTGTCTTAGCAGTGGTAAATTAGGATCTGCACTAAAGCATTCTACTTTTGTAAACTTAACCATTGTTTTTCATTAGTGACTTTGCTTGAAGTGTTACCACAGTAATAATTTTACTGGTTCAATGTCACTAGTATTTAACCGACATGCATTTAATAGCCTGAAACAAGTGCCAAAACAGATGTGTCAAAAGAAACTCAATCATGTGACCACCCACTAACTCAAATTCAGATAGCATTCTGAACTTCAACCTTCATTTCACCACACTGAATTTTACTTCCTGTATTATTGCTTTCTTAAATACTTCTAAATAACTTTTCTTGTTTTTGTATTAATAAGGATTTATTTTCAAAGATTATTTTTCTTAAAATTTAAAGTTACCATATTCAATATTCAGCCCCACTCACGATATTAGTTTTTCTTTAAATTTGGCAGGAGGTGTTGGAACTATGTTTGTGTTAAGAAATTATTACTTATTGTTGTTAAAAGACACCTATAATGTTATTGTTTCTATTAATAAAGTAACACATGATAGCAAGAATGAAAAAAATTGACAAAATAATCAAAAAAATACCTTGGTCGTTCCTCTTAATAATATCAAACATTTTGACGATAAAATTGTTTTTATTAAGTTTGGACCTTTTTTCATCATGCTGTGCTGTTTTTTCAGCGAATTAGTGGTGATTCCTATATTAGATTGTTTACAAGAATAATTTTATATTTACAACATTCTAAAAATGCGAACCAACTAATACAATGCAATGTTTGTCATTTACCAATTTATAACGCAATAAAGATTTCACTTTAGCATAGTGTGATCTACATTTAAGAATTTCATCTACATGCGCAATTCTACTGAAGTGTCTGACCTACACTTCAAAAATAGTAATGAAAGAGAGATAAAAAATTAAGATACATGACCAGAAATCTTTTACAGATTGGTGGTATAAAATATTTATAATGGATGTCTGATAAATGTGACTTGACCTCATTTACGACTAGGTAGTATGAAAAGTTCATTATGGATTTGCAATAAATATGATTTATCCATACTTAGAACATGTGGTGGGATTAAGATAAAAGTTTTGGAATCCTGTGAAATTTGGAATATTTAGCACATTGAAATAAGTTTTCCAGTGGATTTAGTATATAAACTAGTCCTACTTTCAAATTTTTTTTTCTTGCAGCTGATGAGACAAACACCCAAAATTTATTTGGTGCATTTCTTAATGATATTCAAACTACAAGGCATACAGAGATTATATATATATATATATATATATATATAATCAACTCTCCCATCAAGATTTGATGTATGGGGCAGATCAGTTTCCAGGAAACCGACAGCCCGACACCGGTACATGAGATTTGATTATAGTGGTGAAGGTTTCGTGCAGGACCATCCACACTTTTTGAAGGGACGAATACAGAGACCTGGTGCACCGAATGCCACAAGGTTCCCAAATGACCCTCCGCAGGTTTTGAATTCAGAGTTGTCTTTCTCCTAGACCAGTTGCCATCCAAGGCTATAGAACCCAGACTGTCCTGCTATTTTATCCATAGCTGATATAGTATTTTTACCTCCAGCTATATATATATATATATATAAATTTATTTGAAAATTATAACAGATATGTTATAAAATCACTACAAAAATAGCCATTTTGTTCCAACACTTCTAGTGTCTTATCAAGTGATTACTTGATAAGACACTAGAAGTGTTGAAACAAAATGGCTATTTTTGTAGTGATTTTATTGCATATCTATGTTATAATTTTTGAATAAATTATATTTGCTCTATTCTGTATTGAGCACTCTTTTTAAGAATAGTATTTTTGGTTTTTGGAGTTTATTCCATATACACCAATTATATACTTGTGTGTGTGTGTGTGTGTGTATATATATATATATATATATATATATATATAGTGTGTGTATAGGTTTTTGAAAGAAAATACTTTTTTTTTAAAATTATGCAAGCACAAATTCTAAAAAAATTATTTTGGGTGTTTTATTGAATTGTTTTTGGAAAGATGTGAGCTGAATTTTCTGTATGTTCACACTTGATATTGCATAATCTTTTGACTGAAATAATATCTTCAGGTATTTTGTTTTATATAAATGTTATAAAATTTAGGCAAAAAGCCCCCAAATTAACAAGTAGACATGCTACATCAAAAAGGCATATGTATGAGGAGTGAAACATACACAAAAAATTTCCTCAAAGTTCCTAAATTCAGTAAAATATTAATTCAATAATGAATAAGTCCTGTAAATTTTATTTGATTTGGATAATTCCCTGATTTCTGGCAAATATTTTAAAACAGGGTTGTAGATTTTTTTTTCCTTTCATTGGGGCGGGGAGAGTGGTAGCTATTATTTATCTATAAAATGGTAAATAATGAATATTGCATTATAGTTGGTTCGTATATTTTGGAAATTTTTGTAGGTTTTTATAATTTTTGGGTAAAAGGATTTCTTTTAAAATTTATTTCTTAATAAAATGATAATGAATTTTTATAAACTGTTAAATAATAGATATCGCATTACTTGGTTCATATATTTTTATAATGTTGTAAATAGAAATTGCCAAAGGAGTCTTGGTGGTTTAAAATAATAACGGGATCAAAAGAAAAATCATACTTTTGAAACAATGTACAAGTATATTTATTACAGTTGTGGTAATTAATGAGCACGACCTTGTATGACATGAGCTATTACACTAAATGTCCTAACAAAACCATGCAAAATACATGTAGTTGGATGCAAGCATGTCAGCATAGATGTTATGGTGACCTAACCAAACCCAAGATGATTTATGTATTTAGGCAAATATCAATTTTCAATGGTGATAATTTAAGGTCACTAAAGTCCACTGTTTGCAGCACATGTTCATAATTACTAAATAGCTCTTCAGACATATTATGAACACTGTATAAATCATCTATAAGATCTGTAATTATACCGTCTCAACACAGATCACCCAATATATGGTGCAGAGTAAGTTACTTTTCATGTGCAGTCTTAGATCTTGACATTCCTATTACTGACCAAATATGAAATATTTGACACATTTAAGCTCATTGGTTAAATACTAGAGTCATATCAAAATGATACTAGAGGGATTTACAGAATCTTTTGTAATGAAACACAATGGATCTATTGTGTAGGTTTATGCAATAGTATTATTTGAATGTAGATCATCTGGAAAAAAAGGTACAAAGTCTCAAGTAAGTTCTCTGTCTATTCAATAGATTTATTAAAGTGGTGAGGGTAGAAGAGTACAACCTTGTTTGACATGATATATTGCTTTAAGTGCACCAATGAAACTGCCCAAAGTACATTTGGTAGTTGGATTTGAGCAACTCAACAACATTGATATAGGATAGTGTTCTTGCATGTCCTTGAAACCAAACCCAGCTTAATATGATTTTTTTTTTTAATCATTTCATCCCAAACAAGGCAATAATGCCACTAAGATGCAAGGGGGGGTTACTGAGTGAGAAAATATGAGAAAGAAACACTATTAAGTAGATAGAACAATAAAAGAATAGGAATTAAACAGCCAGAGTATAATGACTGCCATTGAATTGTCTCCCTTGACTATCACAATGTTTCCACTTTTGACATTTCTCCTTGCTATATGCCATCATTGTCTGATGGTTATATTGGCTAAGTAACGCTATCTGCTCCAGAACTGTTCTGCAAGATACTGCACCCTTTGCCACCTTTTCCTAGCATACAAATCTTTGCTGACAATAATATCCTGACAATAAAACTTTTTCGGTAAAGTCATCAAAGTTCTGCGATCCCATTCATCAGTAACTTTGCAACGATATTTACATTCCCATCAAGTATTGCAATGCTGTAAACTGCACTTCAGCATTTTTCACACTTCCAAAGAATTCCGGATATGGGGTCAGTGAGATATGATTGAATAATATTGAATTTTAAACCCGTTGGAGGCTCATTAGTCAGTTTAACTCCATTTTGTAAGATAGGTACTGGGAAAACAGTTGATGGGTAACTGCTCAGCCACATTTGGAAGTCTGGATAGCATGGTTCTGGGTTTAGTTCCTCACAAATTTCTTCCAAATTGATCATACAAGATGACAATTTTGAAGCAAGGCCCAAGTTCCTTGGTGGTTTTCTCTATCATTCTCATTGCAATTGGATCTTGACCTTGTCCAAGAGATGAAGACTCACACTTGGAACCACCAAATACCTGATCATCAGCAAATTTAAGTAATGCTGCTCCAGGAGACGAAATAAACAGTGAAGGAGAACACTAGTTGCTGTCATTGAAGGAAATTGGGTGTTCAAGCAGACATTTGCTCCACCATTTTATTTTGACTTGACCAAGTTGTAGCTTGACCTATCTATGTCATTTTTTTCAATATCTATCTATCTATCTATCTATCTATCTATCTATCTATCTATCTATCTATCAAACTTCTTGCCTAGTTTCAAAATAATGTTTTGTATAGCTGGAATTATCTGGTCACAGGCATCTCAAAATCAACATTTTTTGAAATTTTCCTAGTTGGCCACCCTATTCACCAGGTAATGTTACCATGTGAGGTTGAAGACTGTCATAAAACTTTTTACGGGATTCTCTTTCCATTTTGAATTTTATAAGGATGGACTTTAAATGAGCTAAGCCTTCTAGATGACAAAATTCATCCCATGATTTGGATGGGAGCCAAAAAATTGTAGGGTTTGAATAAGGACTATCTAAGTCAATTCCTTCAGTTAACAAAAGACAGTATTCATCTTCATTGACATCATGTCTGTGCTTTAGAATGTTAGTACAGAATAAGAATGAAAAAAGAAGCTTGTCTTTTTCAAATACAGATGTGAAATGTACATGCAGATTTTCCAAGCAGTTTTGCAAAATATCTGATTGTTCTTCTGCATTCTCTATTGACAAAGGAAAGGGGTTTATAAACCATGCCAAGGAATAGTGGTACATTGGCTCAATATTGGCTAAATCAGCAATTGAGAAAAACAAGATGATTGAATGGACAGCATTTGGTTGACAGCTGCTATGAGCAACATCAATTTTCTTTTTTGCTTCCTCTGCAATAGCCTGATTTTCTGAAATTTCATCAGCTAAAATTTTAAAAGATGAAAGAATTTTTATAGCTGTTTCATCTTCAAGAATTTTTTCTTCAGAAGAAGAGAAAACTTCAAGTATTTTGTTTTTAATTTCTTTCAGTTATCTTTGTATTCTCAGCACTTTGAAATATGAAGGCATTTTTTTCTTCTTCAAATTTAGAGCATTCCTTAGCAACAACAATAACCTGAATTTGGTCTTGGAGACCCTCTTCAGTTATCATAAAGTTTAGCAAGGTTACCTTGACAGCTGTTTCTGGCAAATAATGACAATTTCGCAGTTTAGTTATCATGTAAAACTTGAAATCATCAAAATATGTTATGGTGCTTTCTCCAAGACAAATACACAATGTACCACTTTGTTTGAAGTTTTGCTTCAACAGTAAAGGATCTAGTTCTTTACCAATATTTTCAACAAGCACATTTGGCTCTGGTTGATTTCCAGCTTGGGTGGAGGCTGAAGTTGTTTAGGGTATGTTCTTGATTGGCCTGTTGTCAAGGGGGATGAAAATTTCACTGAATGGAGAAGTAGTTCTTACCATAGCATCTGCTACATTATTGTCTTCAGCTTCAGCATATACAGTGCTGTTCGATAAAAGTGACTCACCCGATTTTTTTTTACTAAAAATATTTTTTTGTCTATTGTTCTTGGGGTTAAAATAATTTTTAATCTTACTAATATAAAGACCCCTTCCCGGCCTCCTAGGAAAAAAGTTTATTCACCCTAAGGTATTCTATTGATAATTATAAATTTGGATATAAATGAGATTCAGGAAAAAACTCTGTGCAAAAAAAGTGACTCAGATATCGCATTCTAATGATTAAACTGGTAAATTTAAAGAGCTTTTGACAAAATATTGAAAACTATTTTACAATACACTCAGAACAATATTCTAGAGAATTCTAGAACAGCTTAAATCAAATCTAGAGTATTCCAGAATATTCCAGAAAGCCTCATACGGTATAAAAACTGCTTGAAGTAGTCACTCAAGTCACTAACCAGATGAAAGGGTACAAACAGGCATCAGAACCACTTAAGGCATCTATTATTGCCCTCTTAAAAGCAGGCAAATCTATGAGAGAAATTGCAGAAATTGCTATAACCTTGCAATCAACTGTCTTGTGAGTGCTTAGGGCACATAATGATGCCACTCCTGCTCCAAGGAAGGAAACAAGGAGATGAAAGAAAAAGATTGATGGCAGGGTAATCAAGAGAGTTGTGAAGAAATTGCAGCCAATCTAAGAAAAGATCAAGATGTTAGTCTTGCCTCTTCAACAGTCCATCAATGGCTGTTAGAACAAGGCTACAAATCTTGTACACGAAGATTTAAGCCACTAATAAGCAAAGCCAACAAAGCCAAGAGACTTGAACGGGCTCACTATTACAAAAATGTCACCGTAGAAGACTGAAACAATGTTCTCTGATGAAACGAAAATTGAGCTAAATTCAAAGGATAAGCGATCTAAAATCCAAAGAAAGCTCTTTGAAGTTAGCAGTAAGTATTGTCAAGCATCCGTTCGGTATAATGTTCTGGGGATGGTTTTCTTTTCATGGAACTGGTTTCTTAAAACCTATTGAAAAACCCTCAGGAGCCAGCACTACAAGAGAATTTTACAGTCTTCTCTGCTCCCTTCTGCTAAAAGGGTGCAAATCAACCCCACCAATCTCATTTTTATTCAGGATAATGCTCCCTGTCACAAATCAAAATTGATGAAGGAATACTTTCAGGTGAGTGTTATGACATGGCCGCACCAATCTCCTGACCTCAACCCCATAGAAAACTTATGGAGCATTATAAAGTACAGGCTCTCAAGAAAGCAGTTGAGCAACAAAGAGGATTTGATTATGAATTTCATATCCGAATGGAATTCAATACTTGGAGATGAGATTTGCCAGAACCTAATCAAGTCAATGCCAAAAAGGGTTGAAAGGTTATTCAAAATAACGGAGGACCCATAGATTATTAAATATTTCGAACTACATTACCTATTATAAATAAATTATACCTCTATTATTCTTTATTTAAAGCTGTTCGGTTATGTTTCTATTGATTATTAGTTGCAGGAAATAAGTGAGTCACTTTTTTGCACAGAGCTTTTTCCTAAATCTCATTTATATCCAAAATTATAATTATCAATAGAATACCTTAGGGTGAGTAAACTTTTTTACTAGGTGGTCAGGAAGGGTCTTTATATTAGTAAGATTTAAAATTAGTTTGACCCCAAAAACAATAGGCGAAAAATTTTTTAAGTAAATAATTCAGGTGAGTCATTTTTATCAAACAGCTCTGTATGTTGAATTCTGATTCAATGGCTTCCGATTCTCTCTGAGCTTCCAGCATACTTAGTTTCTCTTTCAGAATGGAGATTTCTCTTTCCTGGTTCAATTTTGCCCATTTTGAAACTAAGTGTGTAGCTACCTCAGCCTTCCTTGCAGATATTTAGGATTCCTGGTAGCTACTTCTTCCATCCCTTGAAGCAGTTGACCCGTAGATTGACCTAGCATCACCTCACTGGAGTAGTTGAAAAAGGGAATTTTTTACGACAATTCAGAAACAAACAACAGTATCATCTTCTTTACAACGTTCTTCCAGGACCATGATTATTTCAGAGGTCACTGAAGTACAGCTGTCCATTTTCCTCCTTATGTCCAGAAGGGGTGGGGTCATTATCTGCAGACTGTCATAAATCAGCTTAAGCTCTGTTTCCTATTGCTCTAGGGATTTTTTCATTTTTCTAAATCCAACTTAGAGCTTCCTTCCTTTAATTTGGAACTAGTGAACTGAACCTCAGCCTTGAAGGTAACATCAATCAGTCAGTTTTGTACCATGCATGATACCTGCTTAGGCGATCATGTATCTTTCAATACATGACTGACAAAGCAGATTTTTTCCCGCAGTAGGTTGCCATTTCTTTCTACGGTAGACCTGTTGCCATCCAAGCCTATAGAACCTGGTCCGTCCTGCTATTTACCTATAGCTAGCAAGAGAAAAAAGAGGATTCATACTGTTGTAGAGCAGTTTCACAGTGGAGACTTGTATTTCACTAAGTCGGTCCTAAAAAGGTTCGACGTACAAAACGTTAGGAACTTGATATAATAAGTTATGACGCAGAGAAATCTAATGGTGGTCGCTGATACTCTTAGTGTCCGACATCGTCTCACTGAGCGTCTCCTACTATTCCTACTTATTATAGGTGGGAGAGTCTATTAACTATAGAATAGGTGTGTTCCAGTATAACACATACCTTTCCCAAGGTTATTAGCATGTAAGTGAATGTAATAGATTCGACTGGAATTCAAACTCGACTCTCCAATTCCTCAATCCAAGCTGAAGTAACATAGGCTCTTATAAATCCTTTTTTTGATATTTCCTCTCTCCTGAAATCCAAAATTTTTTTATTTTGGCATTTCACTCTTTTAGAGTGCCTAATTTCTGGAGACTGGGGATTTTCATAAGCTTCGGTTAAAGTGGCGTCTGAAGGATTTAGTTCCATAACAGCAGGTACAGTGTGAAAGGGTAGAGGGAGTATAAATAGAATTAAAACTAAGGAGGATAACTCTGTTCAAATCGATCCCTTATTTTGCCCTTTAATTATTTTTATTTATTTATTTTTTTAAATGCAGAGCAATGTAGACCAACAACCAACTTTGCTTGTACAAAAAAAAAAAAAAAATGAAGTAAATCTTGGCTCACCATTGTTTATCTGTTAAAATCTTTTTATGAAATTTTTTTTATTTATTTTTTTATTTTACAATTCTTGTTTGCTTATAATGGCAGTGCTTTCTTTTACAAAAGCCAGCTGGGGTTACATAGAATTTTTTTTTTCTACGAGGTCACTGGTTCACGGTGTTCGAGTTCATTAATTGGAGGTATCTTTCTTGTTCGTAGTTTAATTTAATAAAAAAAAGGTGTCGTCTTACTCTCTTTCACGTATTTGACATACTTGGTACTTTTTATGATTCCACGTACAAAGTATTCATTTCCTAGGTGGCAAAATTTTTCTTCCAGGCGGCATATTTCACTTCTTGGTGGCTGTGATGTGTTTCCTCTTACGAAGCGGAAGTATTTCATTATAGCAGGTCTTGACCTTTCTTTTGGTAACACAAAATTCCAACTGATGTAATCAACAAATATAATTTTTATTCCTTCAAAAACACCATGAATTACTGGAATGAAAGGGGTATATACAAAGTAATTAATAAATTTTCAATTACAAATATTTGATATTACAGTATCAGTTCAGATGATAATCCCTCAAAATCATTGTCATTCATTGATAAAATGAAGAGAGATGATGATTTGGAACTGAAATGATTATAAATTTTTAATTATGCAGAAGGAATGTTTTGTATGCTTCT